GAACCATCTTCACTCTCGGAGTGAGAGTAAGACCTTTCACATGCTCCTTCATCATCATAAGAGTTACCACAAAAGTCTTCTTCCCCTCTATCTTCACCACAAGAGCTGTGTTCAACATTTTTCTCACATTCTCCTCTGGAATAGTAGCTCTCATTCTCATTCAGCCTCTTGATCATGGCAATCATCATAGCCCCCATAATCACCATTATCCTCACATTCATATCCCTCATCATCACAATCATAATCTCCCATATCATAGTCATATAGGTCAGAGGCTATGAAGGACATGCTTCTTTAACTCTTTGTACCTACAAAGTGACAACTCACAAAAACAACAAACAACGTTGGCGTTAATAAAATGAACTCACAATCTCTCATGTTTACACACCTTTGATTGCCTCTCAAATTGGCGCAGCTAATGTTGAAGATTGCTTATACTCAGATGATCACAAGGTCTCAATTTCTACTCTTGGTCAGAATAGATTTTAATTTCAAGAAGAACGGACGACTCGATTTAAGCAAATGGACTTGAATCGAGAAGCTAACTACGGAGTAAAAACGAATAAAAGCACACAAAGAAAAGGCACTAACAAAGAAGTGAATTCAATAACCAATAGTCAACAAGTAGAGTAGTTACGAGTTGAAAATCTTGGGAACTTTAAACAAGACACAAATCAACAAACCCATTTCAGAAATTTTCACAACAACGATTTTGAACATATTTTTTTTGTAACAAACACAAGACTAGAATCATATGAACGAATCTAATCCAAGCTCTGATACTAAATAATGTAATTCTCACAAGAAGAATCACAATAAACCGCGGAAAACAAGAAAGATAGAAGAAGAGACACAAGATAAGAAACAATTGGCAACTAAAGGATGTATTAAATCCAATAACCTCCAATCTAGATCCTAACAAGCACCTAATCCGGATAAATAGATTGACACAAGAAAAGGAAATCAGAAGCAACCTAAAGGTATATTAAACCTAAAGACCTCAATCGATTAATCCACAATCAAGCACCAAATCTCTTACGAAGACCTCAAGGAAATTGAATCTCCAAGAAACCCCGTTTATAAACAAGGTTCAACAAAAGCTTTACCAAGCTCTCAAGTCTCTCAAAGGAGATCCAATTCATCATTCATCAATATTCAAAATAGTCTAACCCTAAAATGAACCCCTAAAGGCCTATTTATAGTTTTAGGCATCATTACATAGATGGGTCCAAAAATGACCCGAAATGCGCCAATGAGCGAGCTAAGTCGAACTCCCCCAATCCTCTTGGCGAGTCGCCAACTGGTCGGAGATGTGCCTCATCCCTTGGTTTTTCCCATTTGGGCAGTCTTGGGGGTCAAAAGGTAATGCGCCGAATGATATCCTTTTTTGCCGAATGAGCAGCCTTGCTCTGCAGCTCCTAGGGCTATTAGGCGATCTTGGACCCCTCGCCCAAGGGCTTTGGCGAATCACCAAAGTGGTCTCCAGCTTGCCGAATGGAGCACTCCTTCATTGGCTCCTCCTCTCTTTGTTAGGCCTCCCACACTCCAAGCTATCATACAAGCATGGTGTTGCTCAACTGGGAGCTCCTTCAAGGTGCGTATGTGATCTGCAAGGCATGGAACCCCCTCCTCGACACCAATATAAGCCTACGAACCTCCATCCTTGTGAACAATCCATCAATACATTGAAGTTCGTGAATCTTCCCTTCAGAATAAATTGAACCCTTACCTAGAATCTATTGGTTTCATAAATCATTTAATTGGTTTCCTAATTTTTCCTAAATTTAGGTGGCAAATCATTTTAAATTGCTTTTTTTCCTTATAATTCTTTTAATATAATTAATTGATTAATTTTTTTGGGTCACCACGACGTTTCGCCTTATTTGAATAAAGTATGAATGTTAACACTAATAATATATCAACTATTCATTGATTATGCATTAAACACTTGTGACAAAATCTATGATTCCACAATTGAACAAATCAAATTCAACAAGTAACTAATAATTTTTTAGAATTACTTAAACACTAGAATAATAGCCAAGTCTTCATCATGAGGCCACTAACAACTTTCTATTTTCTTTGAATTGCATCCATTACCACAACTCCAATCACACAAAATTCTCTTTAATTAATAACCATTAAAACTCATTGAAACAACTTATATCCACTATCTCTATTAGAATTTCATCATCTTGAATAAAACTTTGTTATAACAATTCAGATTAAGCAACCTTGACCAATGACTTCAAACCCAAAATTATTTCAATGATATGAAGTGATAGAGGATATGAAGGAGATGGAAAATAAGAATAGAGAAAGTTAAAAGAATAAGAGAAAATGAGGGAGAATAGTAAATGGTTAAAGAATAAGAATAAGATATATACGAGTGAAAATGAGAAAGAGTGAAAGCTGAAAATTGTGATCTTTTAGATCTGAATAATTATTTTGGATAGTTTATACATACAGAGGCCTTTTAATATGGTGATTCATAAATAATTAAATGTGGGGTAAGAATTTTAAGTGTCACTCCCCGAGCCTACACCCTGGGCGGGACTGCCACTTGAGAACCATTGATGGTCCTAAGCGAACCTTTGGCCTGACTTACTTACTCAGCGGAAGACTTAAACATAAGAAATAGTCTCAAAATATAACTCATTCAATAACTTAAAGAGATATGAAGTTTAGCCAAAATGGCAACTTAAGTCTTAATGTATACAACTGAAAACAGAAAGATTAAAGAACTATAACTACTCGTCTATGAAGCCTCTAAAATAAAGAGGGATGTCAGGACAAGACCCCGATCATCCTAACAACTAAAGTACTAAATCAAATGATAAAAGGGGTCCTCCGGAAAGCAAGGAGGCTCACCAACTGACTCTGAGTGCTCATTGGATCAACGAGGCACTGGATGTTGATTCTGGTTACCTGTGTCTGCATCATAAAATGATGCAGGCCAAATGACATCAGTACATTGAATATACGAATATGCGAGAGGAATACTAAACAATACATAAGCTTGAAAGGAATTTGAAAAGAACACTTACCTTGGATTTACTCAACTCATAAATAACTCAACTCAAATACAAGGTAAAAACAACAATAATAGTGCAATTTATACAAAGCATTTAAAATAGTAGGTGATAACTCAATGTATTAAAGAAAATACAATAGAAACTCAATTACATAGAAAGTAATATAATACTGTGGGAGTTTCTCTAACCGACAAACACCACTATGAGCCTAAGTGATGATACATCGTCTTGCTCACGCTGCCGGAACTGTCCTATACTCTGTTGTCACATAGAACGCCTTAACTAAGTGGATCCACTAGTATATGCTAAAAAGCACTAAGGAATCATCTAAAAAGTATGATCCTTTCTACCCATGATGGTTACATGGTTTATGGAGACCTGAATTATTATGAACTCGCGTCCCCATATCGCTGCTCAATACTACTCCCAAAATATACTCAGCTCATATGTTTTTAAAACAAAACTCTTTCTTTGGTTTGAGATAATTACTCAAAACTTAGCTTAAAATCTCTCTTGGAAATCGGTGTTTCCTTTCTTGCTCAAATGTGAACATTTTAACTCTTGGGAATACTTAGTTCCCGTATAATCTTTGAAGAAATGAACTCTACTCTTACTCTTTACTCAACTCAAAACTTAAGTCTTAAAACAAAGTTAAAAGGTTTGTAAAAGACTTTTGAAAACCTCTATGAACTTCTCTTGACTTAACTCTTAACTTTCCTTGAATTGAATTTATGAATTCAAGGATTGTGATTTGTGATAGGAAAGATCTCATGGTGTTTAGGAATGTTTTTAGATAGTTAAACATAAGAAACGATCAAGAAACCACTGTCTGGAAACAAGTCTGCGATGCGGAGATGCATTTACATTTTTATCGCAAAATTTATTTTTGAAACAGAGGAGTCTGTGTCTACTCCGCGATGCGGAGGTGATTTTTGTGCACTGGACCTGCTCGACTTTTTCCTTCTTCGTTTTCTCACCCCAATTCGCCTAAATCCGATTCCTCTTCTCAATCCCTCTATAGATTAAAATACCCATTATATATACACAAGAATCTAACTCAAAACAACTCTTAAATCAACATGATTCCAGCAAGAACTCCACAATCCCATCAAATCTCAAGAACTAAAGCAAACTTCAAGAACATCATACTATCAACTTTCTAGAAATGAATTTCACTGAAACAAACATGATTGGAGCGTGGGAGAACGAACCCAATGTTATGAAAGTCTCACATACCTCGTAGGATTGAATCTTTGGCGAAATCCACAACCAAAATTGCATGATCTTGATGAATCTTGACTTTTCTTCTCCTTTCTCCTCTTTTCTCTTTTCTCCAAGCCCTAGCATGAATTTCCAATTGTTTAAACTGATATAATTCTGATTAAACCCCAATTAAACTCCTAAAAATGAAATAAAATAATTGGGTAAGGAAAAGACCAAACTACCCTTCCAAAATCTGGATTAGACTTTCCTTATTTGAACAACCCAACTTCGAATGGGCATATCTCACTCATACAAACTTGGAATCGCACAAACTTGGCGGCTTTGGAAAGATAATTTCAAGATATTTCCTACGGTATTTGGAAGCACACTTAAATCATCTTGATCTAGGAATTATGGTCATTTGAAGTTGACCCAAAAACTCAAACTTAACTTAACTTGCCAATTTTCCAGATTTTTCATTCTTTCCTAAAATGACTATTACCAATTCTAGGTCTTTCTAGTTCTTTCAAATAGCTAGATTCTACATTAAGACTTAAGCATACACATGAAATACGTTCAGTATCAAATATAAACAAATTGCTAAACGAATATATTCACTTTTCCAACAAAAATAGAACCTTCATAAATAACTGAAATAAAAATACAAAATCACAAAATGGATTTGAAAATGAAATAAAACAACAAAAAACTCTTAAGAAAACACCACAAAAATAATGATAGAACAACATAAGCATTACACTATCAATCGAGGTCCTTGGAATGTCCATTATCTCCACCACTGATGTCATCGTCTTTAGTTGGTGCAAACTCGATATTGTTTCCATTCCCTAAGCCAAAAGAATTGTCATTATTAGCCATAGTCTCAACAAACCACATGTCATTGATTAAATCATTCATTGAATTTGGTAATTGTGTAACATTTTCGTTTGTGATCTTGAAGTTTGAGGGAGAATTTTGAGGTTGAGAAGACTGAGGTTGTTGATTGACTTTTTCCTTTATCCCATGAAGTTTAGCTATCTTATAAGTATTTGAAAACTTTAATAGACCTTGAATTTCTCTAGCAGTAAGTTCAACGATACTCTTTCCCATTACAAGTTGATTGAAGAGGATTTCCATTTCCTTCTCCTCATTCATTTTTTTCTAATTTTTTCTTGTTTCTCTTTCACTTTGTTTGAAAGATATGTTTCATGTTTCATTAACTTTTTAATTCTTTCCTCCTCAGGAAACTTTGAATACCTCACTAATACCTCCTTAGCCAAATTTGTAGATTTCCAAACAATGGGTTGGATTTCTCCTGTGCTAAAAATAATTATAGCAACATCTACATCACATAAAATAGAAAATTCTTTTGCTTTCTTAAATAAGCTTGTTGCTCTTTTATCGAGAAGGGAGTTCCTTACATTTTCACTACGGTGCCTAGTATTTCTAAGCCTTTTTCTATCCATATTTGATACTCAAATATAAAAATCACTCTCTCTAGGAGTAGAATACATAAAGTGTGTAAAGGTGTGTGGCTTTTATAGATGTCAAACATGAATTGTTACTAGAGCCCATCAAAAAAAATTCAATTTATTGAGACGTTTTAGTTAAAATATTAAATTAACTAATTATCATAATCTGATTCTAAGAAAATTGTTATATTTTTCTTTAAAAATTTTAAAATTTTAAAATTCATATTCCATGATTATTTTTAGAGTTAGAAAATTCAAATGATTAACTTGTTGCATGATAACATTTGGTAGAAAATTTTCTCTATAAAAAATATGTTCTACAAAATATGTTAATATATTCTTAAAAAATATTTTTGGGTCATATTTCAAAAATATTTTTTTATATGTTTTAGTGGTGCATTCCATAGGTAAAACTATGAAACTTATAGATTGATGATAAATTTATTAATTAAAGGTTAACACTATTGTACTTATTGAAGTAGGTCATGATATTTGAGTCAAGAATTAAGAAAACAAAGATAACTCACTTATAAAAAATAAGAGATGTCATTGTAATTTTTTCATTGTTTTTTGGAAAAAAATAATTTTCAAAATTAAATTAATCAAATACCCAAAATGTATGTTTGTTCGGAAAAATATTGTCTGAAATATTCATATACATACACCTCTAGTATATATAAGTTACATATAACTGGTGCAGTAAAGTTTTTGGAATTGTCAGATGATATCTCGAATTTTATGGTAGTGTGAAGTCAAGAGTACTTCTAGTCTATTAATTATTGATGAATTTTTGTTTTAGTTCTTGCGTTATATGTATAAACACATTAAACCTTCAATCATTTCAAATGTGCTTTTTTAACTCGTCAATTATTAATCGTTCTATAATTTAATTACTCATGTGTGATGTTAGGCTTGTAATGATACTACATTTTTCAAGGTAATTTTTCTTATGAAGAGCCCAAATATAACACATTTTCTACATAAGAGGATTAAAGACACACATTTGAATTAATCACATGTTAAATATGCCTATTCATACAATACAAGGACTAAAATTAAAATTTATTAATAATTGAGTGATCAGAATATAATTTCTCGCAATAATTTTCTTATTTAGGTATTTTATGTAATCATCTGAGATTAATGATCAATTAGTAATGACATTACTATTTTAAACTTATAAATAGTATCTAGTCAAGTTTGATATTATTTTAATATTTTTACCTATTTTAATCATACAAACATGGTATAATTTTAATATTTTACAATGCATAATCATATAATTATGACTTTTCTATATTTACAAGAATAAAAAAAAAAATTTATAATTGAGAGAGCAAAGTATTAGTATCATCAGTAATTTTCCATTTTAGGGATTTGAAATAATCATCTAAGACTTAAAATGATCAATTGATAATGACATTACCATTTTAGACTCCTACACAATATCTAGTCCAATATGATAATGTTTTAATACTTTTACCTTTTAGTCATTCAATCATGATATGCTTTTAATATTTTACCATTCATAGTTATATAATTTTGACTTTCTTATATTGAAAGAAAATATTTATTAATAATCAATAATTTTCTTATTTATGCATTTGAAATAACCATCTAAGGCTAAAGAGATCAATCGGTAATGCAATTACAATTTGTTTTTAATATTTTACCATTTATAATCATATAAATATGACTTTTCTAAATAGTTACAATAAAACCTCACTAAATTAATATAGTTGGGACCATGAAATATTATTATTTTGTAGAGATATTATTTAATTGATAAATTAATATTTATTAATTTAAAGAGTGTTTTTAGATTCAATGAAGGTCAATTTTAATTACATCAAAATAATTGTATCTTACTAATTTGTGTATCATATTTATTGAATTCACATAAATAAATAAATAAATTTATTATACATAAAGTATAATAAATACATCAAAATCGTTGTGTCTCACTAAATTGTGTATCATATTAATTGAATTCGTAAAAAAATATTCATTATACATAAATTACAATGTGTGTATGATTCATTGTAATATATTTTTTTATTAAATGATTCATTGTATAAATAAATTCATTATACATAATGTTCATTGTTTTGTAATAATCAAATATTATTCATTGTATCTGTACTAAAAACATTTTATGTATGACGGTGAGAGAATAAACTATATAAACAACATAAGAAATTTCTTGAAACCATATCCAAAAAGGGCTTCTCATTTAAAATGTATCACAAAATCAACAATGACAAATAAAAAGCGTAAAACATTATGTGAGTACAAAATAGATCATTCGACATGCACTCAAAAAGATTTGTAATCGTGGCAACACTCTAACTTTTGGATGCAATAAGAAAAGTTAGAGAGGAGTTTCAACTAGATTTGAATTTTAATAAAAATATACAATAGAATCACATTTCACTAAATTGTCTTAGATATATTTTTGTACTATTAAAGAATTATTAATTTATAATATTAATGGGACCATATATTTATATAGGGGTCTTCTAAAAATATATTATCGTATTATCTTATCAAAATGAGTGATTTTTTCCATTGGCCCAAGTCGGGACCGGAGAAAAATATTATCTTTGAGAGATTATTAATTTAGTATAGTTTTACTGTATTTTATTTTCCATTCAAGGAAAAATAATATTTTTTGTCATGCCCTAAAAGAGGGAACATGATCAACGTTTATTCCATTATGTAATGACAGGTTATTTCTCTCTTTTGTGGTATTTTTGACATTTAGAGCTTTCTTATTGCCACACCAACTCATTTGTGACTTGTTCGGACATACAGTTTGATCACCTAGTCGTTCGCTTGGTTGTTATGCGGATTTCTATGTTTTAGAGTTTTTGAAGTTTGTACAGTTGACTTTGGTAAGACATTATGTAAATGACCTCACAATGCAATTATGTTGATTCCATGAGCTCTGGAGCGTTGAGTTTGGTCTAGGTGGACCTTTGGTTCGGGTCCCGATGCTTCTTAACTTATTTTGCGCAACCTTATGGCTCATTTCTAAAATAGAACCTTGGATGTAGGAACCAATTTTTATCGAGACGACCTTCGATGGAACTTTCAGCATCTCTGTTAAGTGTCGAATGTTAAATTTAGTGGGGTAGCCCTATTTATTTGCATGCACAGGGTTCGAACGAATCCTCTACAACCTTGTAGGGCAATTTACCAATTCCAACTTGAGCTGGTACAGCCTTTGTTGGTGCACCACATTTTATATTTGCATTTGGGGGCCTTGAGTCGCATTCAAGGCCTGGCCACACGTTCGTGGAGAGTTGGGACCCTAACCCATGCGATCACGGACAAGGTCTCACGTTCGCATGTCGAGTTCAAAACATGATTTCTTAGTCATTTGAGCTTTAATTGAGCTCATTTGTCACACCCCGAGGCTACCCTCTACATGCGGACACTGGATCTAGGATCACGAGTGACCCCAAGCTAACCCTGCTGGCATATCATAAGTATACTCAAGTAAACTGAATAAATAAAAACTGTGCGGAAGCAATATCATATAAGAATCTGAAATGATGGGAAATACCCATATGCTAAATCAGAATATATGAAACTCAGAGTTTGAATACAAATGAAAAGTCAAACTCTAACACTAATGTTGAAACTATGTCTAAAATAAAGCCTCTACTGACTAGAAATGTTGGGACATGACCCAGCTAGATCTATAAAAACTAAGACTAAAAGCAAGAAGGATAATTATGTCACTAGCCCTCAAAGAATAAGGACTCACCATTGTTGCTGTTGAACTGAAAATCGGGAACCGATTTATGCGTGATCTGACTGCTGAGGACCTGAACCTACATCACGAGAAGATGTAGAGCATAATATGTGTCAGTACTTGAAAGGTACTGAGCATGCATGATAGAATAACACTGAATAATAACATAACTGAACAAGCAATAAAGCAATAATATAATCTGAACATGATAAGGATACTGGAAATATTGAGATGGCTAAACTGAATGCAATGACCAAGCTATAACATGCTAAGACAGAATACTGAACTATACTGATAACATGGTCAATGCAATATAATCTGAATGAACTGTAAGGGAGCTACTAATAACCGACATAAAACCTCATGAGCTAAATGTGGAGTCTGATGTATACACCCCATCGAGAGGACCCAATATACCCTGCCAAAGGTATAGAGGCATGTTGGCGTGATCACTAAAATGATGCCCATAAAGAGGACTTACAACATAAGGGGCACGTAGTTTTGGGACTTGAGGGTAACTAAACCTAGTCCACTCGGTATTAAGCTTCCCATATGATTAAGTAATTAACACTTTATGACTAAAATGTTGTAATACTGGATAGCTCAAAATACTGACATGCAAAGTGAGAATGCAACATTAATATGTTGATAATAATGCATTTGAAACTGAGGCATGTTTATATATAACTGAATTAATGGGCCTAGCATGTGTAATTAATGAACTAAAAGAACTACATAGCTAGGGTTCTGAGTTTATGCATGAACCTGGGCAATAACGATATTGAATTCATGATAATACGATTTGGATCATTCTAACAAATAAAACCCAACAATTCTAACATTCATGAAACCCCCACCATAAACTAGATGTAATGGAGGGAAAGAGCTGTAACCCCCACCATAAACACAGGTAACTGATTTTCTGACTGAACTAAGTTCCAAGAACATGCAAATACGCTGAAAATGCAAGTACAAACTGAAGGAACATGATGTTAAGACTGAAACTATGCATGAATGACTGAAAAAATTGAAGAGGAACTATTACCTCAAGCTAGAGTAGAATCGAAAGGAAAGAGGTGAGGATGCTTGACCTTCATGGATGCTTCTGCTTCCCAAGTAGCTCCCTCTACAAACTGACTCCTCCACAAAACCTTGACGATCAAGGATTTCTATTGGTACATCTTCATAAGTGAGACTATCCTTCACAGCCACACTTTCTAAGGGTATTATAGAT